GCAAAGACTTCATGACTAAAACACCAAAAGCAATTGCAACAAAAGCCAAAATTGACAAATGTGATTATAATTAAGCTAAAGAGCTTCTGTGCATGAAAAGAAACTATCATCAGAGTGAACGGGCAACTTACAGAATGGGAGAAAATTTTTGCAGTCTACCCATGTGACAAAGGTCTAATATCCAGAATCTTCAAGGAACTTAAACAAATTTAAAAGAAAAAAGCAAACAACTTCATCCAAAAAATGGGCAAAAGATATGAACAGACACTTCTCAAAAGAAGACTTTTATGCAGCCAACAAATATATGAAAAAAAGCTCAACATCACCGATGATTAGAGAAATGCAAATCAAAACCACATTGAGATACCATCTCATGCTAGTGAGGCTGTGGAAAAACAGGAACTCTATACACTGTTGGTAGGAATGTTAATTAGTTAAACCATTGTGGAAGACAGTGTGGCAATTCCTCAAGGATCTAGAACTAGAAATTTGACCCAGCAATCCCATTACTGGTATATATCCCAAAGGAACATAAATCATTCTACTACAAAGACAAATGCACACGTATGTATATTGCAGCACTATTTACAATAGCAAAGACATGGAACCAACTCGAATTCCCATCAATGATAGGCTGGATAAAGAAAAGGTGGTACATATACAGCATGGAATACTATATCGCCATAGAAAGGAATTAGATCATGTACTTTGCAAGGACATGGATGAAGCTGGAAGCCATCATCTTCAGCAAACTAATACAGGAACAGAAAACCAAATACCACATGTTCTCAGTCATGTGAGGGAGTTGAACAATGAGAACACATGGACATAAGGAGGGGAACAACACACAGAGAGGCCAGTTGGGGGATGGGGCCTAGGGGAGGGAGGACATTAGGACAAATGGCTAATGCATATGGGGCTTAAAACTTAGATGACAGGTTGATAGTGCAGCAAACCACCATGGCACATGTATACCTAGATAACAAACCTGTACATTCTGGACTTATATCCCAGAACTTAAAATTTAAAAAAAAAAATGAAATAAATAGGATTGAAAAGAATCAGGAGCCAAATGCATATGTCTGTATAAACCATTTCTCTTTTTAGCAATCTTCTGAACATCACCACACATGTGTCAGCAGTACAAAAACCCTCGAAAGGCATGGCCAAGGGCACTTACCAAGTTTTTTTTTTTTTATACTATGGACAACTCTAAGTCTAGGATATTGACACATATGTATGAACTTTTAAAAGGCATTCAAAAAGGACTACTACAAAGCAACCAATGTGTTTGATGATCTGAATCTTTTCTATGGGAATAAAATACACATTTCTATGGAAAATAAAAATTTCTCTGGGAGGACTGGGTCTAGCCAGATTTTCTCAAACTGCATTCCAATGACAATGCATCAAGACCATTAGGGATGACTAAAATGCAGGTACCACGGCCTCCACCAGACCTAGAAAATCAGAATCTCTGAGTATAAAGACTGGTAATCAGAATGCTTTAAAAGTTCTCAGTTGATTTGTTTGTATCCTAAACCTTTTGAATCTTTGGTCACCCAGAAGGATACTAAAGCAAAACAAAACTTGTTGACAGAGGGAAAAAGTTTGCTGTAATCTCTCTTCTACCTTCTGAATTCTGACTCTTTTCATGAACAAAATTTAAAAGAATGAGCAGCATATTTACATTTGCACCCTCAGAATGAAGCAAAGCATCTGGCAAATAGAAGAATAATCAGAAAAATATTTGTAGATTTAAACTGAGGAGAATGGTCATGAAAGGCATAGTTTATAATAAATAACATACTTTCTTTTACATCCATACTTCCTCTCCTCTTCCAGCCTTCTCCAAAGAAAGAGAATATTTACTGTATTTTCAACAGTGTTTGCACTAGGACCTATATTTTGCTTTTTGTTCTTGGTAGTGATCCATGCATTCTCTCATACCTGGGCTTAATAAAGTCACAGGATTGATGCTAGAAAATATGGGTTAAGTTTCCTACATTTTTCTCTTAGTTACACTTTGAAAAATGGTATCTGTTTCCCTTCTCATAACGTGTGTGGTATTTGACATTTACCTTTTCCCTTTTACAGAAAAAAAAATGCACAGATAACCATCTTGCTATACACATCCATATCTTGCAGACTAGAAAGAATTTTTTCAGTTGTTAATCAAATAAACATTATGCGTTCAGCAGAGTTTCCAATGATTTGAGTTTTAAGCAGCTAATTAGTCTTTTTAATGACAACTAATTACTCATAGTGTGTTTATGGCAAAAATAGTTTTATAGATGCAACTGTCACTTCTATTGACACTTTTCTTCTCATTGGAATCTTCAAGTGCAATAAAAATAATTTATTTTGACCCATTTCATCTTTAAAAAAAAAAAAAACAAACAAACAACAAATAAAACCACAGTCCTTAAGTACTCTTGAAATTGTAAAAGTATCATCTTTAGGAAAAGAATAATATCTACTTCTCCTAAACTAGCAGCCTTTTGTTTCTTTCTATGCTGTACAGAAATTGTTGTCAGGTGAGGAATTGCCAAGAAGTGAAATGACATTATAAATGTCACAGGTCAGTACATAGGTAAGGAAGAAATGCTGTCTGGAAAGCAAGCTAACTTTTTGACCAAAACATTCTTGTTATATCTGTTTTTGCCAATTCTGTTGCTTAATGTGTATACCTTCCTAATTAAAAAATAACAAAGAAAACTTAGAGAGGTTACATGTTCAGCAAAAGATAGGCAATATTCCAGGTCTAGAAAAAAATACTGTGATTCATGAAAAAAAGTTCAAAAAGAAATTGAAATATATTGCATCCTGACAAACCATACTCCCTTAAAGCTTTGCATTTCTTTAGGAGCACAAAACAAATCTTAGGTGAGAGTCCAGAGTCTAAGAGGGTCATAAGGTGACATGCTTTACAAAGACATTACTAGACCATCCTTTAGCTTATGGTGCACCTCACATTGTATTAAAGTGGGAATATTAAAACAAACTTGAACATCTGGGAAAAGTTCCATGCTTTGAAGCTATGTAGGTTTTCTTTTACAGAACTAAGTTCAACACCTTATAAGTATCACCTTAATTCTTGCAAATCAGGTTCAGTTTGATGAAAAGCAATGTCCCTAACAAGCTCATAACTCATTTTGGGTTGTGTCTGTCTTTATCAGAAAGAGTAGCACTTTTTTACTTTCTACAGTCATGCAGGTAGAGAGTGGCTCTCTGCTTTAATAGTCAGAATAAAATGTTTTCTTAGGTTAAAAACTGAATTCAAGCCAGGCACAGTGGCTCAGGCCTGCAATCCCAGCACTTTGGGAGGCCAAGGCAGGCGGATCACCTGAGGTCAGGAGTCCTGACCAACATGGAGAAACCCCATCTCTAAAACAATAAATAAATAAATAACAAAAATAAAATAAAGTGAATTCAGAGGGATTTCAAATGTATTAGTATCACGGGGTCATATAGCATCTCTGTTTCCCATTTTCTGTTCCATGCAGATATTATTCAAGTAAAATATAACACATATAGACTTACTGACAAATCTTTCATAAAAATAAAGCAAGAAATTTGAACTTACTAACTAGGTTAAAAACACATGCTTTTTAATTGCTTTTTCTTTTTAATTAGGAGAAAGGGTGACCAGAAGTATTATTTTGCTACCTTATTGAGCTACATTGAAAAATGTGGCATGTAAAACAAATCAGCAAAGACTACCTCCAACAAATGTTAGAAAAAAACTTCCAAATTTAAGAATGATTTTCATAAGTTTCTCAATCACCTAATGTTCTAATAAATTTTACAGGAGAAAAAGAGGAAATTTAAGTCACAGAAGTGAAGCTACTATTAAAAAATAACCAGAAGTTTTAATTTTAAGTCTCATTTTTTAGAAAGACCCAAATCAGTAAAAGTCTTACTTCCCAATTCTGTGACTGCATTGGTCCGCTAGTACAGATAGTTATTTTGCTTGCAAAAATTCAAAGATTTAATATACATTCAGGCAGAGGGAATAGAAATACAAATATTCTTCATCACATGAAGGCTTTAATGTAAAAGCCTGCAGGATTTGTTCCATAGCATATAATATTACTATTTCCACTTATTCATAGTTGTTAATTACATTTTTATTTATTGTATTAAATCTTAATATAACTTTTTCTCTCATCTCTGTCATATTACCTCAGTAAATTTTCTTGAATATTTCTTTCAGCCTCTTAATGAATGACCTGTTAAACTCATTATTATGACTATAATAAACCGTTACTACTTTCACATGACATTATATATTTTAGGAAAGTATTATCATCACATAAATTATTTTATGATCTTTTTTATAGCAGCATAAATGCCACAATGGTTTTATCATTAAAAACCTCATACAGAAGAATTCATTTGTCAACACTAACCAACAAAAATTATTTGCATTCACTTAAAGCAGTGGCTTTAAAAATACCCATTCTACATCTACATCCCAGACCAACACAATCTAACCTACAGAGTTCAAATTTATTTTTCCACACTTGCTGTGATTTTTTTTTTCAATGCATGGATTCAATGTAGGTCAGCTGCTTCCATAGGAAGTGTCAGTTTTATCTAGCCAACCGTTAAATATTTTTCTTAAAGGAGGTGTTTTATATTGGGAATACTGGAACTAAAGAATATGAAAAATGGCATGAGAAACATATAGGTTATTTTATTCAGCATCAGTCTTATACCAACATGGGTATATGCAGCTACTGATATTGAAAGTATTTTTTGTTATGAAATATATGAAAATTTCAGGGAAAAAAATCCTCAAGTCCTGCTGATAACACATCCTCCAGTATGTGTTAATATAATTAGGGTTTTGGGGATATGTCGCAAATCCAAAAACACACCATGAATTCAAACCCTATGCCAACTACTTAAGAAAAAAAACTTGCATCACTGTGATTATTCTGCCCTCTAGTGTAAAGTAAATGGTATTTACACTGAAGTTCATTTGCTTTTTTCAGATCAGCATTTTCATGACCCATTTGTCCAACTATGGGAATGACCGACTGGGATTATATACATTTGTTAATCTGGCCAATTTTGTGAAGAGCTGGACCAACCTGCGACTTCAGACCCTGCCTCCAGTACAACTGGCCCACAAGTATTTTGAGCTGTTTCCTGATCAGAAAGACCCTCTCTGGCAGGTAAAATTAATTCAGTAATTGATATAACCAATTAATTCCAGGAACATAGTTCTGTGAGATATCCCAAATCTGAAAAGTGAAGGCATCTGAGAAAAACTACATTTTGGAAATGTTAGATTTGAGAAACTACTCCTTCCTAAACTGTCATTTTCTATCATGGTGACTACATATTGCACCCAATTCCCTGTTCCCTTACACATTCAGAATTATGGGATTCAGAAAGCTCAGTGACGGATTCACTGGATGTGATGTTTTCAATCAGGAGTGAGAGATAAATCTACAGATTGCAATAGGCTGCAAGAGTAGAAGATGATAAACAGATTGTTAGGCAGGTAGCCTTTGAACACATCCCCATATCTCCAATGACTAAACCATAGAGGATCTCCGAGAAGAGTTCAGAACTGACATCTGCCTTCTTAACCATGTCGTACACCAACAGCCAACAGCCACAGAATGTGAACAGCTTTCAAGAGTATTAATTGGGGATTAATATGGGGGAAAGCATTTCATGGGAAAATCACTGAGCTTAAGATAAAATACCACATTTATATGGCATATTCAAATGGTTCCGAAGGTAACCTAGATATGAAAGCATAGAGTCTTATGTATCATAGAATTGCAGGAACAACTTTGAATTTAAATTGTCCACTCTATGATCTGTGAAAAATAATAATTTTGGGAAATAATTACATATTGCTTACTGTATGTCCAACTGGGCACTTTACATGTGTTAACTCATTTAATCCTCACAACTACCTTAAGTGGTAGGTACAGTTATAATTTGCATTTACAGATAAAGAAACTGAAGCACAGAAAGGCTGAGTCAATTAAGCAAGGTCACATGGCTAGTGTGTGGTGAAGCAGGAATCAGTTATAGACCATCTGGCTCCAAATGTTGTACTTCTTAATCACTGCTCTAAACACTACTAGAGAACAGACAGAGCTGATGGTAAAACAATAACGATCTTCAGAAGCAGAACTCAGTAAATTCCACAAACTGAAGTTGTTAACTCTGAACTTTATATTCAATGCATTCAGATTGAAGTTTTTAAACTTTATATTCAAAGCGTTCAGCTTTCAACCCTAAGTTAATAGCCTCCTGAGCACAAACAGATAACTCCAAGAAGAGACATAACTGCCCATATAGCAGGTTAAAGTTGTTGGTGTGGACTTATGACTGCATATTACTTTTTGGTTGTTTTAACAAGCATTTTTTCATTTTAACCACCACAAAATGTCACCAAATGTTAGCCAATGGAAAGGCACGCAATTTTCCTGCTAATTTAACCTCATTTTTAAACTGAAATCTTTATTATTTCAGGCAATAAGTTTTAAACTTGTTTTTTTTTTTTTTTTCAGAACAGCCAAAAAGAATACTCTCACTTTAGTCTTAACATCTGTTAGTTATTAAAAATAAGCAGAAGGCTTATTTAACTTCATATATCTATGGTATTAATTGACTAGAAATAAAAAGTGGTACTGTTTGCCCATTCCTGGAATATTAAAGGGTACTGTAATTCTTCCTCCTTTTCTACATAATTTATACTCTGCTCTAAAAATGAAGGGTGTTCTAAATAGGACTTGCACGGTGGGTGTTGGTGTGACATATTATAGGCCAAAAAGCAGAATCCCTAAGGTAGCAAATTGCTCTCATTATGCCCTTTTGCTAAAACTTAGGACTTTCTACCATCATAATTATATTTTTAGATAAACATTTATCAACCTTTGAAGGCAGCTGCAAAGTATCTGCCGTCTGTTTAGATAGTATTATTTTGGCAAGATCCCTATCCCTTTGAAGCACAGCTGGAAAGCTCAAAGTTACTTAGAATAAAAATCTGACATCTTATACTTCAGTTATGTATTGAATACTGAGAATGTATCATCTTTTAGGTTAGCAGGAAGCATAGTCTCCACCCAGTAAGCTAACTATTTTATATATATATATGTATATAAAATAACTATTATATATATATAAAGAGAGAGAGAGAGAGAGAGAGAGAAACTGCTAGTAGCTGATTAAACTCTTTGTGCTATGAGACTGTTGACCCAAAGCGGAAATACTTCCTCTCTCCAACCTCCTCTGTAGACTCTCAACCTCAAGATGGAAAGGAGTTGTTCAGAACTTCCATGATGCTACTTCAGTGCTTTCGTCTTTTAAAACAGCCTTATTTTTTTATCCCAGTGCTTCCTGGTATACCTTTAAAGAACACACATTAGAAAAGCTGGCCCACAATGGACACAATCTTGAAAAAAAGTATCTCTATGTTCTTCTCCCATTTAGAATCCTTGCGATGACAAACGCCACAGAGACATTTGGTCTAAAGAAAAAACTTGTGATCGCTTACCTAAATTCTTGGTAATAGGACCCCAGAAAACTGGTGAGAACTTTTTATGTTGTGATTAACCAGTGTAAAATTCCTGATGACTAGACAATGAGTTCTTGTCACAATAAGTTCATAAACTTCCCATAACTGCTAATGAATGAACATGTTTTTCTCCGACATAATTTTCATTCAGCTGAGTAATGTACCTAAATGCTTATCAAAGTGTTTTTAAGTGAAAAGAATAAAGCAGATGTCACAGCATTCAGATGTCCACCAGTCAATTTGGTGGCACAGGTAATTTTTTCCCAGATACTTTAATTGAAAAGCATTGTACTTAGCATTTCTAAAATCAAAGCTAATCACTGACAGGATTGTATCAAAAGTCAAGAGGGACACATACAAGTATCTATAACTCTTTATAATAAATCCCTTCTAAAAAAATAGTCCCTTAGGCTGCCATTTTCCTAACATTATTTGTAAACTATTTCTTACGGAGATGACTATTTTCTAAAAGTCTAAAAGATGTTTGACAAGCAGAATTCCTAGACATACACAAAACTTTGTGCTAAGAAAGGTGTTTATTCATACCCAGGAGAAATCTTTTTTCCCTTTTCTTAAATTGGTGTGCAATTTTTCCCCGATAAACTTCTTGTTTCTAAGAATCAGTATTAAAATGAAGCCCCATGGAAGCTTTAAACTACCAGACATTCATGCTGTATCCTGCATGATAAATTATTTGGGGCCCTTGGTTTCTGGCTTCACAGAATACAGCCTTTACAATCTTATTTTTGCTAAGGGAAATACATTCCCTCTCCTCAATGATCTAGAAATAACTGAGGAAAGTTCTGTGCAATGTACACAGGGAGTTTAGCATATTCATTTTTTTCTTAATGTCATTTGCAGATATCAATCTGAAAACAATAAATATTACAAATATTTATACTTTTCTTGTCCTACTTCACTTGTCCTTATCTATCTAAAGTCAAAAGGCAACTAGGACAACATTTAAACTAAAATCTCTTTGGTGAACTCCCTCTGTCATCACATAACCTTGTCAAGACTGATCACATCCTGAAGGCTTTCTAAAGCATTTTGCTTTGAAAGTCCTACAGGATTCACTTCCTCTTGTGTTGTGCTGGATATGCAGACATTTTGATATCATGGTTAGATGGTAGAATTATTACTTGTCCTCTTAAACTCAATTGGGTTTCCAAATATTTGCTACAATTTGGATATGACATTTGTCATTGGAAAAGACTTTTTATAGAACTTGATTCTTTTTTATAGAAATTGATTTTTTCCCAGTTTTGTTGACATATAATTTACATGCAATAAAATCCACCCATTTTAAATGTACAATTAGCTGAAGTCTGAACATTGTGCACAGTTGTGTCTACCACATTCGAGATACAGTTGTTAGCCTAAGAAAATCTCTCCATGTCCCTTTGCAGTCTATCCCCTCCATCCACCACATCCCCAGCCACAAGCAACTACTTTCTACCACTACAGTTTTGCCTTTTCTAGAACTTCATGTAAATGGAAGCATGTAGTGTGTCTTTTGCATGTGATTTCTTTCATTTAGCATAATACTTTTGAGATTCATGTTGCTGTAGATATCCATATTTTATGAAACTGATTTTTTAATTATTTTCTCGTATCAGTCACATGAAAATTAAATAACTTCATTCTTAACTATAATTTTGTGAAAAGTATTTTTTTGGGCCAGGCCTGGTGGCTCATGCCTGTAATCCCAGCACTTTGGGTGGTCGAGGCAGGTAGATCACCTGAGGTGAGGAGTTCAAGACCAGCCTGACCAATATGTGAAACCCCGTCACTACTAAAAATACAAAAATTAGCCAGGCATGGTGACATGAGCCTGTAGTCCCAGGTACTCGGGAGGCTGAGGCAGGAGAATCGCTGGAACTTGGAAGGCAGAGGTTGCAGTGAGCCAAGATCACACCACTGCACTCCAGTCTGGACAACAGAGTAAAACTCCATCTCAAAAACTATATATCTTTTTTCTGGATAATTTTGCACAGATTTCTAGTTATCTGCATATTCAAATATTTTTCAGTGTGGAAGCTGACAAAAATATAAAACTGAAGATTTATAGGTGGTTATTTAAGAATGTATCTATGATTATGTAGTTGAGTTACCACTGATAAAGTATATACGCAGGACAGTTTATTTAGACCCAGTAATACATCTAGGTAAAGACAGAATTCAGAAACCAGAACTTAAAATTTTTTTAACACTGATAAATTGCATTATACCTTTTATTGACTATGTAAAATAATTAGATTACATTCATTTTTCCTGTTTGTCTAATTAATGCTGGTCATGAAAGGCTACTAAAAGTGAACTAAATATATTTAATACAATTTTTAAAAATAAGATCCAGAAAAGAATGTTTTCAGTTGATCTAAGAAAGAAATTAATCTGTTTTTCATTCTCACATTATAATGGCAATACTTATTTCCAAAAAGATTATTTTTAATTTTAAAAATGCCTCATGCATATAAACTATTAAATCTCAAGTACCTAATTGAGATTAAATTGTATTTAATATATTTATTATAATGCTAAGTTACATCTCAATAAAGTTTTTATCTGGAAAAATACCCTTTATGGCACTCTTTAGGTGCTTTCATATAGGTTACCTCATTGATCCTCATAAACCCTGATAGCTAAGTATTTTCTTCCCCACTACACAGATGGAAAAACGAAAACTCATGAGAGGTTAAATATTTTTTGTTCAAATTCACACAGCTGGTAAGTACAAGAAATAAAAATCCTGATCCTAGAATTTACCTAACTTCAAAGAACATGCTCTTTCTATATTACCATGGATTTCATGTAATGGAGCATCTTTTCCTCCAATAAATTTTAGATATTGCTTCACAGTTATTCTAAGTCAGTGATTCTCAAGGGTGGTTGCCAGACCAGCAGCATAAGCATCACCAGATAACTTAATCAGATAAGTGTGAATCCTTGGGTTATAACAAAGACTTGCTGAATCAGAGATACTGGGGAAGAGCTGAGCTATCTGTGTTTTAACAAGCCCCCCATATGAATCTGATGCATGTTAGTTGGAGGACCACTATTTTAAGGCATGCTTGTGAAGAACATTTTTACTTTGTATATTATAGATTACTATGTTTTATTCCCTATAATGATCTATGATTATAGACAAAGTGTTCATTGTTTGGCTCAGATGTAATATAGGAAGATTGCCTCTTTCAATTTATTTTTTAAGACAATATTGCCATTGACAGAGTTATTTTAACTATTTTTCTATTGTATAGATATGGTAGATTTTAGTAAATAAATACTAAAGAAAGCTTAACTTATAAATATTTAAATAGTATGTATTTACTTAAATATTACCATATTTGTACTATTTAAGCAAATCAACACTAAAATACTACTTTACTACCATGTTAATACTATTTAAGGGCTGGGCACAGTGGCTCATGCCTGTAATCCCATCACTTTAGGAGGCCAAGGCAGGTGGATCACCTGAGATCAGGAGTTTGAGACCAGCCTGACCAACATGGTGAAATGCTATCTCTACTAAAAATATAAAAATTAGCTGGGCATGCTGGCAGGCGCCTGTAATGAGGCTGAGGCACGAGAATCACTTGAGCCCAGAAGGAGAAAGTTGTGGTGAGCTGAGATCACACCATTGCACCCCAGCATGGGTAACAGAGCAAGACTCCATCTCAAAAAAAAAAAAAAAAACTATTTAAGTAAATACTAGCATATTGATGCTATTTAAATAAATACTATACTATCATATTAATACTATTTATACCATTATTTAATTAGTATTATTAATAATATATTAATGCCATTTAAGTTAATAAATACTAAAGAAAACTTATTGAAAGAAAATTCAAAATTTTGTACAAATGGCAACATGACGTAATTACTAAGCAAAATTAGAGTAGCAATTTCTCCAAGTGAGAGAAATAAGGCCATGTCTTATTACTATTGCTAGCTATTGCCTTGGAATATAATTAACAAGTCCTGCTCCACAGATTGTGTAATAGTGTAAATAAGAGTATATTTCTCTCTTCAGAGTAGCCAATACCTATGAATACTTTTACGATCTTAAAAACACAGTCACAGTTATGAGTATTACATACATGGTTAAATTTTGACAAACCGAACCCAAACTGCCTTACTTTCTCTTGTACCAATCTGACCAAGCTACACACTTTATCTCCTCATTTAGGCTTATAAAACACTAATCGTACAGTTTATGACATTGCTCACTTTTTGAAAAATCATACCCTTGCTCCCCAATAGTCACAAATAGATATGAGTACCTGTGATATGTAATTCTCTTCCCTATTAAATGCAAATTTTATGTTATGTCACTAAGAAAGGGCACAATTTTTTTCAAATTTAGCAATTTAAACAATTTTTGACACTACTTTTATAAAAATATACGTACATTCAGGCTTACGCAAATTTGTTGAAAGATTAAATTCTGTCTTAAGTTTTAGTAGCTTTCATAGGCCTCAGGAAGAACTTAATATGAGAACCCAAGTATTGACTTTGGTAATGTAATATATTAAATAATAATATATTGCATTTATATAGTGCCTTATTACTGTCAAAATGTCTTCAGGTACATGTCCTTTCATTCTCAAAGAAAATCTATGAAATAAGCAAGGCAGGTGATTTTCCATTAAGAAAGCTGAGACAGGCCAGGTGAGTGGCTCACTCCTGTATTCTCAGCACTTTGGGAGCCCGAGGTGGGAGGATTGCACTAGCTCAAGCATTCAAGACTAGCTTGAGCAACATAGCGAGACTTCATCTCTACTAAAAATAAAAAAAACTTTACAAACTCAGCCAAGCTCAGTGGTACATGCCTATAGTCCCAGCTGTTTGAGAGGCTGAGAAAGGAGGATCCCATGAGCCTGGTGTTGAGGTTGTAGTGAGCTATGATTCCACCACCACACTCCAGCCTGGGCAACATAGTGAGACATTGTC